GATCAAATTCAGGGAAGTCCTTCAGTACGATGGGCAGTCTTGAACGCAACCGCGCCATTTGTGGCCTATCTGCGTTTGTCGTTGACTCGAGGTGGGTGGACGCCAACTGGCGGGTCGGCAGTTGGAGAGCTTGAAGTTCGTACTGGAGCGGAATAGGCGGTGGTCGGAACATAGAGCCAATAGCCGTTCCCCGTTTTCCGAGGGACAGGAATCTAGTCCAAAAGGACCACCCAAATGCGCCTCACTCGAAGTCAGTCGGCCTACTCTGGCATTCATATCTCCTGCCAAAATCAGGATATCAGCCCGATTTGCCTTACGCAAGAGGTCGTGTAGCTTTTGGCAAAAAGTATCTTTGACTGCATCTGAGCNCGTAGATGCGAAGACTGATACCACAAACCAGTTGTGTCTTTCGGAGCAACGACTATTTACTTTGCACGAGCCTCTAAGTCTCACTGCGCATAACCTACTGTCGACTGGGATCCAATCCAGGAGCGCGGTTTTAGCTCTCTCACTGAGAGCCACGCCAACACCAGCAAGACCAGAAGCCGCAGCCCCAGGGTCAGTTCACTTGCCGTGGAGTTGACCTATTTTTTAATTCTAATAGCCCCTGTCTAACTGTACATGTTCATTCACTAGGATTTACAAATCTAATCTGCTATAAATGTGCTTGTTTGTTTTACGTCAGCGATTGAGAAGATTAAACAAAACGTTAACATCTCGCGACATATGTCTTCTTTCGGTCTTGATGCAATGTTAAGTAAACCAATTTGTTTTGCAATTGTCTCTGTGGTGTCTATTCGTCAGATGCTTGCAGATTTGTTTGCAGATATGCTGGATGAAGAACTAAAATTCATCCCCCAAACAGCGCGTGACAACTGTTATCATGGCATGCTTACGCAAGGGAGTATTCAGCTCACTCCGGATAAGAACCGATTCGTTTGTGTCACCACGCAACAAGACTGCAAATATAATTTTCGCCTTCCATGCAACCAACCTTAGATGTGTTCTCTACATTCCCGTTGATGCAACTGGGAGCGAAAACTCGTTGAATTGCCTCCGTGGCGGAAATTACTTAAGTCGCACGGTAAGGTGCTTTTTCAGGCCACTGACGAGGACTAATCGAGATGATAAGCTCATGGGAGGACCAGAACTACTTACGGCATAATCTGAAGTCATCCCGTACGCGCCGTACACATGATCGTGCCGGAGAAAACTTTCAATGTTGTTTTCGTACATCACTTGTTAAATCAATGCCCCCACCAATTGACCATTCCATCATTCATTGTGAACACCTTTTAAATGCCCACCTCGCAACAAAGTCCTATCGTTCATCTTCCTATATTCCCTGTGTTGTTGGTTGCACCTCCCAAACGATCCCGGTCTACGACTGTTCTCTACTCCGTTTGCACACAGCTACACACTGTTTGCTCCTCTAGGCTGTCCTCTATGTTGTTCTCGTCTTTCTGAACGACCCCCGTCCATGATTGACTGATTCTGACAACCTTCTACTTACACGTAAACACCCATACCCAAACACCCCACCACACACACTTACCGCACTTTCGGTTTAAGGCCTGACCTAATGGTCAACGTCTACATCCACCGCACTTCGGTTGGTGCTCATCAGGTCACTTTTCACCGATGTATTTTGACTTCAACTGATTTATTCAGTCCCTTGTCACCGCATCACTCACCTGCTTGCTCGCAGCTCTTACTTACTGAGCTACCGGGCTCACATATTCTGATGTTTTTCAAATCGGATAATATCAGTTCGATTTGTGCATAATCTGTACTGGTGTAATCTGTATTCCAGCCCCGTTTTGTGGAAGAAGCGCGTTTGTGACACGAAACCGTTTTATGGGTTCTATATGCGTCGCTATTTGGATAATTGTAGCCTGTGTAGTTTGCATCACTCAACTTATTGAAAACAGTTCGAGTTCGGACGTCAGCGATGGCCGCGAAGATCGGCATTCACTTTCTATACCTTTTCAACTCCAGATGAATCCGCCAGAACCAGTCGCATTCCACTGAGTACCTCACAAGTTGATTGGTGTTTCGATCATCAAACGTCACCGATTAGATCGAGTCTATCTAAGCCCCCGTCCAGCTCAAATGAACTAATTCTTCCGCCAACAAACAAAGTACTTTTGAGTGAGTTACCGAGCAAGGATGCTAGTAGGGTTGACTGTTCCCCTCCCTCAACGCACCCTGGAATGTGATCGAGGTCGTTGATCGAGTGAATCAAAGACGTGAATGAACGAATCAACGATAATAGATCTCTGTCGGTCGGGCATGGAAACGAATCATGTCCAAGTGAATCGAAAAATCGGTCGCTACCCTCATGCGTGAACGTGACCGTGATTTATTCCACGAATGGGTTCAGTCTAGATCCTAAATATCCTAGTGGGTAAATTTCCAAACCTTTGTGTCCAGAAAGACTGGCTCACAAACTTTATGTTACTCTACCCTGTAGTCAACCATGACAGAAGGTCACATGTCACGTGATCCATGTAAATCTTACTTCTGCTATCTGTCCTCCACGGAACACGAAGAACTACAACTCTGCCTCCTATGAATGACAACAAACGGGGTTACCCGTTTGTCGTTCTTCAGGAATATCGCTTGTAAGAAGATGATCAGGAATACTTGAAGACAATTAGTCTCTCTCCCTATCTTTCTCACAATTTTATTGCAGGAACTGTAGTAGACCTACTTTCATCTCTAAAGCTCTTTACGCTTTGTACAAGAGAATGTCAAATAAAAACTAACTGATTGGAGATCCTGTGGTAAATTCAGCCTAGTTATCAATCCTCAATCGAGTAAAACCCTGCATCTGGTATATCATGAACATGATAGCTCAGAATACCAATCAAGATATCATCCGCATTAACTGCTCCCCTATGCTGAGAGGATTCCATAAACGTATACACCTGTATGGTGATCCAGNACCATCCAATCAAAGCTGGTACACCGGGCGAACATTACATCAGAATTAGTACATGCGATGCATCTGCCAAAACGGTTACGTGATTGGACGATAGTCCTTCAACCAATGAGATGACTCATTACTTTCTATAAAACATGCTCAATTACTATCAATAAACATTGACATTTGCTGCTACCAATTATCCGTGTATTTCATTGGTGTCCGCAGTTCGGGTTAGAACCAATCCAGTTCTGAGTACTTCAGTACGTGTTCTCGTATTCCCACATTCATTACTATTCCGATTATCACAACCTGACTTGAAGGAGGGGCGTCAAAATGTTGCATCCAACCATCCGCAATCCTTCAAGAATAACGGAATTAAGACATGCAGAAGACCGAAGTGAAAGAATATGTTACCCTTCGTACGTGATAATCAATTCGACTGTGCTTAACTGCCCGG